TCCATTCCATCCTTCTCTCCTCTTCTTTCCTTTCACCTCTTTTCCCCACCTGTCTTACAGTTTATGCTAAAGCTATGTTCAGTACTCCAGAGAAATGAAACTGTCCAGATGTTGTTTATATATGTACACCTGCCAGTTAATGAGTTAATAGATTGTATTTGTTTTTATAGTAGTACAAACTCCGTTGAGTTGTTCCAAATATTTGTTGCTAACAAAGACGGCAGTATTCCCAAGGAAAATAAACTGAATTATAGCAATGCAAATAAAAGGCACGTTCTGAAAGTTATGAAGTCTGATATAGGAAAGTTAGGAAATTCCAGAAATGAAGGCTTTTCAAGAAGGTATGATGTAGTTCTATGTATTTTTTTTTCCACAGAACCTTGCTAAATGTCCTGGAGTACTCTGTCTAGTTATGGGATCCCCAGTTCAAGAAAGACAGGGCACTTCGAGAGAGAATTCAGCAGAGGGCCACAAAGACAGTGAGGGACTGGAATGTCTCCTGTATGAGGAAAGGCTGAGAGAGCTGGGACTGTTCAGCCTGGAGAAGAAAAGCCTGAGGGGGATCTTATCATTGCTTAGAAATAACTAATGGTTGGGGAGTCAAGTGGATGTGTGGAAGTCTGTACACATAAGCTCATGCAGAGAATGAGGCAAATGAGGCATTCTTCAAAATTTTGTGAGTTTGCCCTGAGTACCTTACTGTATTGCAAATACAGTGCAAAGTTCTATTTAGGATACACCAGCATTAATATTTTCATGGATAATCATCAGCAGGGATATTAAATGCCAACTTTTTCATGCTCAGAGTGCTTTATGTGTTCAAAAGGCAAGTCCTGAATACATTATATTTTTTTGTACATCTCTTTTTTTATATCAGAAGATACATATTTTTGGTGCACTTAGCACTTCGGCAAATCAGGAAGAACTCTACACCTTCCCTCTCTACACAATGTTGATTTATCTGTAAAGGCTAATTCCTAAATTACTTCTGTATAAGTAGGTATTTATCTTCAAATTTCCTCATTAAAAAGGGTGAAAATTTAAATACCCCCAAAGAAGCATAAGGTTAGCATATTTATGAACATCACCAGGGTTGAAACTCCTCATGCTCTTCTAACACAACTCCTTTAAGTTTCATAATAGCATGTCTCATTTTCCAGTTGTCCATATCTTAGGCTGCTACCCCATTTATTTGCATGAACTAAAGACTGCATAGCTTCAGGAGGATTTGAATCCATGGCTTGACTGGTGTTATTCCTTTCTCAGGGAGTTTTCTGTCAGATTGGGACGTAGAGATAGTTTTTACTGTGATCACATGATAGGCAGGACAAAAGGGAAATTACATGACTGTATGACTTGTGGCATGGGTGGCAGGAGAAAGATGATTCCTCTCAGTGTGGGGTCTTGCCCACAGACCAGTCCAAGTGGCTGTGACTGACATGGGAGATCAGCAGAGGGAGGCTGCAGTGCTGCCTTACAGAAGTATTAACACGGATTGATCTGTTCACTGAGAAAAGAACATGAGGCAGGAAGAACACAAGGTAAGAATCAAATCTATCAGTCTTAAGTTTAGTGAGTGAGCTTTGACAGGTCTGTAGCCTTTTCATCCTATGCTTAAATCACTGCACTTCCCTTGGCCTGTTTTCCAGCAGGAAGACGCACAGGGAGCAGCGAACAAAAAGGCTTTGAGTTCCGTTGCCCTGAATTCAGCCTGATGCCTATTAGCTCAGAGCTTCACTTTCAGAGAAAACAGCTGCTGAGCTGTGAGCTGGAAGCAGACCCAGTTCCAGTGGCATCTTCATGGAATTGTGCTCCAGCAGTCCAGCAGGTCACTACAGAGTACAGAAAACCTCCCTTCTTGTGAGACTTATAACCTAAATAAATTTGGACAGCTTATCTCTGACACAGAGGTTATTTTGTTGACCTGGTTCCAATGTCTAATGTGGTTCAATTTCTCAAAATCACTATCAGTGTTAACATGGGTATTTTTTTCTTAACATTTTCCAGAAAAACATGTAGACTGTTTTGGCTGAAATAACTCTTCTGCATTTATACTGAAGTCAATAATGGACTTGCCGTATTGCAACTGCAATGGTTATAGCAGAGCTGTAAGGTGCTGAAAATAGTAATCCTCATTCCTGCCACTGCTTATAACACATATCTCAGTGGTGTTTCAGTGATGTAGAATCTGCTCCTGTCTCAGCCTGGTAGTTTAAATCCTCATGCACACAAAAGCTACCCAGTAGAACAGGCATTTGTCCATGTGCTGCATATAGCAAAATCACACTGTGATGTGTAACATACAGTACAGATTGCAGTATATACTGTTCTAAGTTTATTTTGAGTCTTCTGCATTTTCATAAGACAAAAAAATATGATCTATATCATCTTACAACATTGGCAGTATGAAACATACACACAGTATGCATTTTGAACTGTAGCATATGTACAGAATGTTCACAATTTAAACAGGGGAAATGTAACAGAGCATCTATCCGTGATCCAGCTAGGCTTACTACCACAGTATTAAGAACATACTGAAATCTTAGGTGTCTGTTAATTGGAAAGACCTCAGGGCTTATTTCACAAATTGTTCACCTTTCCCACCTCTATCCCCCCTGCTGCTGACTGCAAACGCCTTCACCTCTCTCCATGCTACAGATGTTTCCATGAGCCTTGTAAGCTTAGGAACTGCTGTTGAAAAAATTTTGCCACTTGCCAAAGAGCTAATGCTGATGTCACAGAACAGCAATTACATGCCAGGAGTATGGATAAGAAATGGACACAGTTGTATCTAGCTGAAAAGCATACTACTCTTTTCCAAATGTAACAGTATTTGCATCCTTTTTCCCTACTTAAGAGCATGCTGCAGTAAGAGCTCCATAAAGACCTCGTAACAGCCAAAAATCCTTCCAGTTCTTAGGCATATTTTTTCAGCACTATATCACTATAAGACTAGGTTTTCACCTCTTGGAAATTAAATATGTTTTTTCTTTTCTGCTACATCTGTGTTAAAACTGACTATTCAGCCAAATCCTCTTTATGTAGTCCACTAAGATGCCAGTTTGTATGGATGCATCTATTATAATTTTATTTGTGCATTCTGTGTGCAAATATCATCCAGACAGAGCAGCACTGGGACAGCCTATTTCTGTAAAACAAAAAACTTTGCAGCTTTGGGCTTCTAACTCATAGGCCTTTGCTAGTACAGGAGAAATTAACCTACCCCCTTGGGCTTTTCAAAAGGTTGATACAGAACACTACACAGCACTTAAAGGTTATTTAGATCCTTCAGGTTGCATTCTCTGCATTTTAAAATAAGATGATATTGGTGTTTTCCTCGTGGCATTTTTTTTCCCCATTTGCAATTGATTGGAAATAGTAACTCTGGCAAATACAAACAGTGGAAATACAGAAACGGTGTTGCAACCCAACCCTCTCTGTGCCCTCTGCCAGAGCTATTGCAATCTCATATCAGTGTTTTGAATCTGGATGAAGGATTACTCTAGCTGCTGTAGCTACGTACTTGTAAATGAACAGATAATGCTCTCCATAGTGAAGTGAAACACTGAATTTTCACAGCAGCGGTCATTTGTAAAATGAGTAATAGTTCATCTTGCATAATCTGACTGTATAACTTCTTAATGTGCAATGCCTTTCGGTTTTAAATTACTAATTTTGCAAGAAATAACAGGATAAGTTGCTAAGAAACCCACTGGGATTCCCAAGTTGGGGATTTCAGAGTTCCTACAAAAAGCCCTAGAGAGCTGTAGTAAAATGTTAGTTTTTCTTATGCTTTCTCTCAGTGCGTTGTATTGCCCAACTCCAGTGTGCTGTTTGATCTCAGGAAGAGCAGCTGACAATTCGAAGCAGCATTGCTCAGATACTTCAATGTGAGGCACAACAATCATATTTTCTCCAAAAAAAACAGAATGGCATTTTTCACTATTTCACTAAAATCAACAGAAATGTTTAAAGAATTAGACACAAAGTGTTGCCCAGTTTAAGCCATCTGAGTCAGGCTCTAAAATTGAGATTTGCCAAAGTCAGGATGGGTTTGTATCCAAATCCCCTTTTTATCTGCTGCTGTACATCTGGGTCTCTGCAATTTAAAGAAAGCTTCCAACAGAGCAATTCAGAAAGTTAGAATTGTACATGGTGCCTCCAAGAAGTAAGGCAGCACCCAATATTGTGAAGTATGAGGACGTTTGTAGTGGTGTGTGCAACTGAGAATGAGTGTGGCGTACAGACCTCTGCCTTGTCAGCATTCAGTCTAACTGCAAACGCATCATGTGTCACATCTGTGATTCTGACCAAGCCTGACAGACAGACAGCAGCAGGGCTGCCCGGCGTTGCCAAGGCCCTGCCGTGCCCCTGTCTGCTGCGTGGATGTCACAGAAGCAGACTCTGTTCCCCTGACCCACTCTGTCGCCACCCCTCACACTTCGTCAAGGTGGGATCCTAAGTTGCCTCATGTTTTGGACCCCCTCCCTCGTCCTAGCAGCATGGGACTGAGAGAACTGAAAGTGCTACCTTGGGAATTGGCCCAGCACCTAACGCAGTGCATCAGAGCCAACCTTCACTACCCACATCTCTTACGGTGGGCCTCGTTAGGTTTTATAAACGAGAGGAGGACTGTTCAGCAGCAAGCACAAACCGGCCGTCTGCCCAACAGCGAACGGCCCCAGCGCAGCACTGGGAGCACAGGGGCTCAGCCGGACACGAGGCCCGGCCTACGGGCGAACCGAGCCCTCCCCGGGGCCGACGTCCCCCGGCGCGGCGTGATCGCCCCGCGCCCGGCTCTCCGCGGCCGTTCCGCTGGGCCAGCCCCCGCCTCGCCGCCGAGGCTCCCACCGCGGCGCCGGGGCGAGCGGCAGCGACCACCCCCCCGCGGCGGGGCGCTCCCCGGGGAGGAGCCGGCCGGGTCGCGGCGTGCCCGCTCGCCAAGTTGAGCTGGGAGCAGCCAAACCCAGCCCCCGGGCGCGGGGTGGGCGGGGAGGCCGGCCGGCCGGGCGCCTCTCCCGCGCGGAGCGGGAGGACGGGCAAAACTTTGCTCCCCGGTTGCGGAGCGGCGCCAGGAGAGGCGAGGGGGAATGGGCCCCGAGGCGCTGCCGCTCGGCCCCTACGGCGGGGCGGCCGCCGCCGCGCTGCTACTCTGGGCCGTGTGCGTGCTCTGCAGGAGGAAAAGGTACCGGCGCGGGGGAAGCGGGGCCGGGGCGCCGCGGGGAGCGGGGCTGCGAGGCGGGCGCCACGGGTGGGCTGCGCACCGCGCATTGGGCCGCGCTCCCTCCGCCCGCCCCTCCGCCGCGAGAAGCCCTATCAGCTCCCGGCGGGGCACCGGGGCTGCGGGCGGCGAGGGAGCGGCGGGGCCGCGCGTGGTGCGCTGCGGGGCCGAGCTGCCTCGGGGGGCGAAGGTTGAGGGCGGTGGTGATGCGCGGGCGTCCGTGCGCACACGCACGAAGCTCATCGCACGGCCTTGGGGCTGGCGTGTGAATGTGCGTGGTTTGGTGAGAAGTTGTTCGCTGTGTGGCCTGTGTAGCAGAAGGGACTGCGCGGCTCTTGGTGGCATTTCGCTCGGAGTCCAAGGTGCGCTGCGCTAATCTGCTCCAGGGAGGTGCTGGCTTGCAACAGCCGCACTCCGAGGGCAGCGTTGTGTGACGGCAATGTGATGCGCATCTTCACGGCTTTTGTTGGTGAATCCCACTCTGTTGCTTTTAGTTTGCTTCTGCCGTGGCGCTTAAACTTCTCAGGAGTTGCACAGAGGCATTGGGGTACTTTCAGTAGACAGAAGACGTTTTGAGGGAGCATGAAGCACTGCCTGGAAGGAGGCTGTCTGCTTCTGACCAGTCCCTTATGGCAAACCTTCTCCTAGGTGTCCCTGGTGTTGCTCATGTTGATGTTCTCCAGTATCAGTTCCTCTCAGTTGGCTGAACAATAAATGGATGTAAAGGCTTGAGGAGAGGAGGAGTAAGGAGTGGAGGGTCTGGAGTTCTCTTTTTTTTTTTTTAATCACATAATATTCATAGCAAATAATAAACTTAATTGTTAAATAACAGTTACTTTTTTAGATCATTAGAAGTTCTGGAAGGCGTAGCAAATGTACAAGTGCAAAAAAAAGTAGTTGTTGTACATATTAAGAATGGTCAAAAATTGGCGTGGAAGCTTTTAGACCAAATGTAACTTTGGGACTGTGTGTCATAAGGAAATTTTGAAATCATGAAATTTCTCACGTTGAGCTCAGAAGGCATTTGGTCACTGAGGTGGGTTAGTGCTATGATGTTTCTGCTTTGAAATGGGGAGCTCAACCCATCTCATAAGAGTGCAGTGAAGACATCTCTCTGAGCATTGGAGTGGGGTCATCTCCTGTGCCTCTCTCAGCCTCCCTGAGCCAGTTCTGCAAGGGAAATCAACAGAAAGCTCTTTATTCTTTTGACAGGTTTAGTTTTCTGCAGGTTGAACTCCCTAAACAAGCTTGGCACAGCAGTGAAGACATGGTCATGGCAAACTGCAGTGGGTATATTTTGGGGTTAGGTGCTGTCGCATCAACTCAGCTGCTGACATTCGTAGAAATGCTGGTATTCATAGAAATGCTAGCAGAATTGTAATAGGCTGAATTTTTTGAAATGGAGGCAGGCTGTTAGTTTTCAGGCAGATGTGGACGGTAGGCAAAAAAGGCCAAAGAACCCATTTTGGGTTATTTTCATAACCCTCATGTCTGTAGAGTTCTTGAAGTTATTTCTATGCAGTCTGCAGTAAAATTGTTTGGATGTTTGTTGTGCAACAGAATGAAATTATACAGGAGGCCTCAGCAAGAAGGCCTGCTGTCTTGCCCTGAAAACCAAATAGCTATGTGATTAATAAAGTAATTGTGTAAATCCCATGCTGTTTGTCTAACAAGTATACAAAGCACCAGTGTGCAAGCAACTGGAAATAAAAAATGGAAGAACCCATCAACCTCTGTGCAGTACAGTCCGTGGCATAAGGCATTGGCATAAAAGCGCTGTCCTGTTCCGGGAAGATGTTCTTTTTTTCTTTTTTTCTTTTTTTCTTTTGTTTTTCTTTTTTCTTTTCTTTTTAGCTTGAAGGAAGAAGAGAGATTGTGTGTGGTCTTTAGAGATGCCTGGCAGCAGCCTGGCTGCCTTCTGCTCTACAGTACAGAAAGCTGTGCTAAGGGTTCAGTGTGTTAAAACTTGGGAATAAGGTTAAGTTTGTGCACCTAGGATTTAGGGCAGTTTTGTGGTCTGCCCTTGCTTGTCTGACCCTGAGTTGCTTGGAGAAGAGAAAGCTCTGGGGTGACCTGGGTGGTGGTTTTTCTGTATCTAAAGGAGGACTGTAAGAAGGAAGGGGACAGACAGGGTCTGTTGTGATAGGTCAAGAGGAAATGGTTTCTAACTAAAAGGGAGGGGATTTAGATTGGATATAAGAAAGAAGTTATTTACAGTGAGGGTGATGAGGTGTTGGAACAGGTTGCCCAGAGATGTGGTAAGTGCCCTGTCTCCGGAGACACTCAAGGTCAGACTGGACGGGGCTTTGAGCAATCTGATGTTGCTTTAAGTGCTCGTGTTCAGTGCAGGGGAGTTGGGCTAGATGGTCTTCCAGTGTTCCTTCCAACTCAAGCAATTCTATGACTCTGTGATTTATTTGTGTCTCTACCTCCATATTTCCTCCAACTGTCAGACTCTTCTCTCCCTATCTTGTATCTGAATGTATTAATCCCAACAGCAGGCTGGGCTGTCCCCCTCCTGCTCAGGCATACACAGAAGACATTGGGGAACCTGTCAACATAGGAAAGGTGACTGTTGGCAAAATAATGCATGAATAAATGCCAAAGGCATAGGCTGTAGCCCTCACATGGAACATACCCACTTAGACTGAGACAAACAATTTGGTTTTGCAGAGCTTCCCTACATGAGAGAAAATGTTGCTATTTCACTTATGCGGGTGTTATTATAAAAATGAATATCTTATATAATGTTTGTGTGCTTATACTGATGTACTCACTCTTTGTAATGGGATTGCTTCTCACTATTCAGGTACCAAGACGAGCTTTACCAGAATAATTAAATTTAACATCTTTACCACACCTATGTGTGGTTTCCACCTGGGATAACTACAGTAGTCAAATGTGTATATATAAACAACGTGTAGATAAATAGAGAGCTTAAGTACATGCACACAGCCAAGTGTAACTTTGCCTTAGAACGCTTGGTTAGGTTTATTCTGTGAGATGATGTCTCAGTCTTGCTCAGCTCAGGCAAAGCCACCGATGAGGCTGTTAGAACTGCACCTCCAGAGTGTAAAAAAGGGCTGTGTGTCCCAAGGAACACAACTCCCCACATCAGTCCGTCCCTGGGTTCCTTAAGTAGACATTGCAGGATTTCGCCTTTCATGTCTGAGGTGTTTCAGCTTCATTCAGTCTCAGGCTGAGTGCTCGTTACCATACCAAAGATTTTGTTTTGTCTTAACCTGCTACTATGTTTATCTGCAGTGCCTTTGGTGTAATCTGGTGTTACCAGATTTCAGTGTAAGTGCAGTGTAGGTTTTCTTATTAAAGTATTTACATCCAGTGTTTGGAAACAGAAAGAAATGCAGAGGAATTTCCTTTTGCATAAATGTTTATCATTTGAGTGCTGGTGGCAGTAATAACACAAAGGAAACTAATTGGAGTCTTTGCCAGGTTTCGTATCACAGATGGCGAAGAAACAGAAGTAGAACAAAAGTTTCCTTAATCACGGAAAATTTTATTTTGAGTTAAACTTTGCTGTCAGCTGAGGTTCAGTGCCTTCTGCGTGCTACAAAAAGATCTCCCTCTTATTGGTAATGAAGAAGGGCATATCTGGGCTGTTTGCTGGGGAATGTTTTCTCCAGAATGCTTCCTTTTTGTGTATCCCATGAAAGTATTCCTGCTATGGCAAAACCTGGTGATTTCCTATCCTGCTAATTATTCCCTTTTATGTTTATGAAATGACTAAGTCAGCTTCAGCTTTATATTGCTTTTTTTGTTGTTTTCAAACTGTTTTTGCACTGACTGTGTGCAGTCTCACGGAGTGGGAGGTGGCACTGCAGGTGAAGGCAGCTCCTGCTTGTCTTCCAGCAGTGATGTGCTGAAGTCAGGGAAGTGTGCCTGAGATCAACAGGGGTTGGCTCCTACTGACACACAGGGGTTCCACTTCCTCTCCCTTGAGTTGATGCCTACTTTTGAAAGCTTGGGTCAGAACACAGTATTTAAAAAACCTTGAAAATAGTAGATTAGACTTATTGTGAGAAGAAATACTTGATAAATTTATCTGGCAGAATTTTGTCACCTTTTGAGCTATGGATTTAGAGCCTTGTTGGGGTCAAGTATCTTTCATTTCTGTCCTTTATTCTGTCCTCTGAATTACCTCAAACACATACTCCAATATTCATCTAAAATATTTTTTTTAAAATTGCTCTCTTGAACCCAGATAGTCATTGTTGAAAAGAATATAGATTCCATCTTTGCCTTCAAGAACATCTTATCCTTCTCTGTGACAAGCTGTGAGCTTGCTAACAGCTCTCTTACCAAGTGAATTGTAGTTCACAAGATGTCATCAGCCTGTCTTTTTTACCACTTCTGCTAATTTAGGCAATATGTTAAGGTAGTTTTCTGTTGGAGAGAACATCAGGAAGGACAGATAGAAAGAAATCAGAAAAATCAATCCTCTCCTGTATTACCTTGGCTTTGTATATTGACCTTTTTCTCCAGCCTCCTTGTTGGTGTTACACAGAGTGCAAATTTTTATGACCTTTTGCTAAATTTCATTGCCCACTCTTACCTTTGAAAAGATTAGGACTGAAGATAGAAACTATTCAAGGGAAAAAATAGCAGTTGGGTTACTTAGAGGTCTTATTTTTTTTTTTTTCTTTTTAAGAAAAGTTTATTTTCATCAGTGCTGTTGGGTTTTCTGTATACATTCACCACCGTGCCACATTGTGATAAAAGCTAATTTCACTGCTTTTATCTTCAGCAAAAGTTAGCAAGGATTGAATAAAATGGCGTCATCAAAACCATAGTCTTCTCAAGGCGTACATGACTCAATTCACTGGCCTTTGAGCTCTCTTGCACTATTGACCTGGAGAGCCATTATCATATGGGCCTTGCATAATAGTGTATCCCAAGATAGGTTTTCTTAGTTTTATTTCAGCACTACTTGAAACATTGTCTGT